ATAAAACTTATTGATTTATTTATTTATTTATTTATTTGGAATATAACGGGACATGCCCTTTCGTACAAAAGTACTCCTAAAACTAAAAATTACAATACTATATTTTACTAAATCTAGGTAGCCACTTAAGAAAAGATATTTTAGTTTTCGTTTAGCAAGATATTACGTAATGATGATGTGAACCGTGTGACATTATTATCAAAGAAATTAATGTCGTTAGAAATCATGTTTGCCTCTCTGCTAAGTCTAGCAATCAATGAGTTATTACCATAATTAGTTCTGTGAAATGCCACCGAAAACAATGTATATCGCCTAGAAAACATTCTGGGCACTGATAAATTTATCATAGAGAGAAGTGAAGGACAAAAGATAGCTCCATTCATAAGTCTATACAAAAAAGCCATATCTGCAAAGTAGAACCGTGAATTTAACAATGGTATATTTAATACCGATCTAAGTTCCCTGTAATCATGTGTATGCACGTCAAAGGGGATATTGAGCAATCTCGCAGCAAATCTAAGAAATTTGTTCTGAACACGTTCAATTCTGATTATATGGAAGATGTAGAAAGGTGCCCAAATGATACATGCATATTCAATAATTGTTCTGACAAGCGTCAGGTATAAAGTCCTGATGGTTAACATGTTATGAAAAACAGAGGCACATCTCATTATAAAACCCAAGACTTTAGAGGCTTTTGAAACAGTCTCAGTAATATGATCATTAAATACTAAATTACTATTAAATACAACACCCAAATCACGCACCCTCTCTACTCTCTCCAAAATATGACCATCAATAGTGTAGTTGTTTAAATATAAATTTACACTACCTTTCGAAAAGGTTACAACAAAACTCTTTTTAATGTTTATACTTAAATGATTTTTAACACACCATTTTTGGAGTCTTTTTAAGTCTTTTTGTAACTTCAAAATATCTTTTTGAAAGGTAGACGGATGAATCACTTTATAACACTTGAGGTCGTCAGCATAAAGTAAGAACGAGGAGTGCCTGAATATTTGCTTAATATCATTCATATATAAAAAGAAAATTAAGGGACCTAGGCGTGATCCCTGTGATACCCCAGAAGTTGCTAGAAAAGGATCGCTAAATTCACCACCAACCCTTACCACCTGATACCTGTCAGAAAGATAATTTTTGAAAAAAAAGAACAATGTTGTCAGAAATGCCTAGCGATTTCAATTTATTTATAAGTATATTATGGTCCACCTTATCAAACGCCTTCGATATATCAGCATAGATAACATCTACTTGCAATCCCTTTTCTAATTTTTCTGTTAAAAAGGTTGTAAAAATACCCAAATTTGATACAGTGGATCTACCCCTGATGAAACCATGCTGTTCATCAATTATAGCTTCAGAGACCGATGTATAAAAATTATCATAAATTATACTCTCAAATATTTTTGCAAAAACACTTAAAATTGTTATAGGCCTATAGTTCTGGGTATTGTTTTTATTATCAGACTTATAAACTGGAGTTATCATTCCCTTCTTCCATTCATATGGAAAAACACAATATTTTAGCGATTTATTAAAAATTATAAACAAAGGTTCAATTAACGAATATCCACATGACTTTACAATGAATGGAGAAATTCTATCGGGACCTGGCCCCTTACTGACATCTAAGTCTTTAATTTTTTTGAAAATATCATTTCTATTGATTGTTATTGAATTAAGGTTCACATCAAATTTATGATTGAAGGTTAAATCTGGGACACTAGCAGAAGGTAATGTGTACACTGACTTAAAGTGTTTCGCAAAAAGATTAGAAATTTCTAAATATGTATCACCAGATTCATCCTTATAAAACATATGTGTAGGAATGTTATGATCTTGACGATTAGATTTAACATAGTTCCAGAATTGTTTTGGATTATCCAAAATAGATTTTTCAACATTTGATATATAATTATTGTAACAAATTTTAGAAAGTTTTTTACATTCTGACCTTAATTTGGAAAATTTTAAATAATTTGTGTTACATTTATTTCTAGTATAACTTAAATGAGCAGTCTTCTTATCACAAACCAAGTTTTTTAATTCATTTGAAAACCAATGTGGGAAATTCGAAGAGGCAATATGTTTCAGTGGTGTATGAGTATCAAAAATATTATACAAATGTTCATAAAAAATAGTCACAACGTTATCAACATTCTCATCACTCAGTAACAAATTCCAATTAGTTGAATTTAATAAGGTAACAATACCAGCTATATTAGCTTTCTTGAAATCATAAGCTGCATTAAGGTTTTGCGCACTATTATAAGAAATATTTTCATGAACATTAGAAAAAACATTTATCAACAAACATGGATGATAGTTATCCAGCGGTAATATAGAGTCATTAAGTACCTCAACAGCAAAATTTACACTATTACAAAAAATTAAATCCAAAATTGAACCATAAGTATTAACTATTTTATTTATTTGTGATAAACCGGCAAAGTTTGTTGTGTCCAACAGAAGGGAAGCAATTTGTTCTTGTTGATTAGTTAAAGATGCATTTAATTCTAATTGTGAGACTGATCCAACAAAAAACTGTGTTAAAAACGGCAAATTAAAGTCACCAACAATTAAAAAACTGCACTATTATATCTATCATGTATATCTTCAATGATATTACACACTTCAGAAAAAATACTGAATGGGGAATTAGGTGGTATGTAAAAACATCCTATTATATACAGAACATTATTTTTCCTGAATTTTATGAACACATGTTCAATAGAAAAGACATTTGTTTCAATAAATGAACTACGCAAATTTCTACGAGCAGCTATAAGTACACCACCACCTCTTGATTTTACACTAGAATTATTATTTCTATCAAAACGATAAACATCATATTTTTTAAAACCTAATTCTTGAGTATTTATATTTGTATTTAACCAAGTTTCTGTAAGAATATATAAACTATAACTATTAAGAGAGATACATTCACGGAGCTGATGAGTTTTAGTTCGTACGCCCCTGACGCTCTGGTAATAGATTTCCATGAATGAATGAGACTTGAAAGAAGGGGACGCACATAAGACACAATTGGGAGGAGTCATATAGGATTGGAAGTCGACCCGCCCACTTGCAAAGTGACAGTGGTCGTACGTCTCCGGGGGGGATCTTGATGATAGTGGGGACTCCACGACGATAAACCATTGTAATATTCGTCTCTCCCTCCTGTCGACGTATCATGAGCTGCTCCTGAACATCCCGAATTTCCCCTCTCTGCATTGGCGTCTTGTCGGTTGTTAAGGACAAGTTTTTCAATTTCGAATCTAGGGTCGGGTCCCTTTTTGCTGCTATAAAGGACCTCAGTATCACTTGTGCCTTCTCCTCCGACACACACACTAACTTCACAGGTCGAGGCTTCCGTGAGACCTGCGCATTAGAACCTATTCTATATACTCGACATCCCTCAAGATCAGAAGCTTTAGAAAAATCTTGTAATGTACTGATCACTTGTGATTTTAAACTATCAGTAGGTACATTGGAGGTTGAGGGAGCATTATTGACCAAGTTATTATATTAGCAATTTCATCATACATTCCGCCAGGGTATGTTAAAATCTGTACTTTTAATAGTAAATTAAAATCCTCTAAAGACAAAAGGAACTATTTTAAAGAACATTCCTTTTATCGTAAAAGAAAGTCCTCTTAGAAAAATATTGAAAGGAAAATTCGCTTATGTTAAACGCATTCCTCTTATATTGAATAGACTGTTTTCTCAGGCGACAAAAGTATAGGTGGTTGAACGCAAGCTATACGTTCTAATGCAATTTTATTAATTAAGGGGAGATTACGGTTATTTTGAGGTTATTTTCAAAGATTTATTTTAAAGTAAAAAAATATTTATTAGTTACAATTTTTTTAATATAATGTAATGTACTTTCGTTGGAGATAAAGAAAAATTTGTATACGACACATGGTCAGAAAAATGGATGCCCTGGTGAGCGAGATACCAACTTTCCGGCCTATTATCGTAATATACTATTTATCTTTTTGACTGCTTCTACAACAACTTTTTTTTTAAATAACACAAGGCTGCAAAAAAAAATTTCGGTTGTCAGAGGTAAAAGTCCCAAAAATCAGGTTTTTGTCAGTTTTTGAAAATTTCTACCGGGCAAACCCGACGTGCTAGAGACTTGTACTAGGAGTCAAATTAAAGCTTGATCCGTGTACCTGACCAAGATATAGCGATATTGACAACAACAAACTAAATTAGCTGTCAAAAATGATTTTTTTAAGTTGTAAAACTCAAAAATTGACTCACAATGTCCGTAAATACAACCATTTTAAAAAATAATTGGATTCGCTTGGAAATTGTTACTCGGGGGTTTTCGGGATCGCGGATTACTAATAAGATGTTAGATTTTTAAAATTCAAAATAGCGGATCCAATATGTTGGATTGAATCAATTTTTAAAAAAGTCGTCGGCCATATTGGATCCACCATTATGAATTTTTAAAAACTGACATCTTATTAGTAATCCGCGATCCCGAAACCCCCCCCCCCCGAGTAACAATTTTCAAGCGAATCCAATTATTTTTTAAAATAGTTGTATTTACGGACATTGTGAGTCAATTTTTGAGTTTTACAACTTAAAAAAATCATTTTTGACAGCTAATTTATTTTGTTGTTGTCAATATCGCTATATCTTCGTCAGGTACACGGTTCAAGCTTTAATTTGACTCCTAGTACAAGTCTCTAGCACGTCGGGTTTGCCCGGTAGAAATTTTCAAAAATTGCCAAAAAGGTGATTTTTAAGACTTCTACCCCCACTTTTCTCAAAATCCTGACATGATAGGAGGTTTTCGTTACTAGATTCGGATTTAGCGCACCAAAAACTATGGGAAATGACTCCTCGATCTCTGACAACCGAATTTTTTTTTGCAGTCTTGTGTAAAATGTTTTAGAACATTATTTGGCGGACATGAAACGTAATGTAATATTTCATTTTTAAAATGATGTGTTTTATAGGTCATGGAAAAGTATCCTCTTATTATTAGACAGAATGTCAGCAGCTATCCTACTTTTGGATTTGAAGTATTATCTAAATATGAATTGCCGAAATCTACATCAGAAGTATTAATTAATTATGTTACTACAACCCTGGGACCACATGCTGCAAAACAGTTTATGCGCTTTAGCAATCAAACAGTTGTTGATAAAGCAACTGAAGACATGCTACACTTAATTGATCCATTTTGGTAAGTCCTAAAAATTTATAACATAATTTCTTTAAACAAATTCTTATCTAGTTGAAAAACTACCATATTGAAAATTCCTATATGCATTTTCAGCTTGTAATCACTGTTTTAGAATAATTATGTAATTGTTTTAGAACAAAAAAGAACAGGTTAGTAACTGCAGGGAAAAAAATTTGCTGTGTTATTAACAGCATCTCTGCCGCCATTTAAAAATCGCAGTTGTAGTATTCATAAAAAGCTGACTATTGGAAAATACAAAAATCTCATGTGTCATACTTACATTTTTTGCGCATGCGCTATGCCTTTGTATTAACACAAATGGAATTGTGCTACTTATAATTATATTCCAGCAAACACTGTTACAGGTCAGTTACAAAACTGCTACAAATTTTTTGAGAACATGTTCTGTAACTGGTTAAGAACCTGTGAGTCACTGGTTACGCAAAATGTTGTACTTAGCGGATATGTAAGATTCTGTAACAGATATAGAATATGGTTACAAATATGTTACATTTGTAACAGTTCTAAAACTGTTTTGTAACAACTATAAAATGGTACATAACCATTATCGCAAGATTATTACCTAAAAATACATGCTAAATATCATTATTCTTAACAAAATATTAAAACTTGATGTAATGGAAAAAGGAAACTCTAAACTAAACATAGATAGAACAGTGTCATATTTCAACTGTTCTATAGCAATATCGCTTCACAGACTAATACGCTAACCATTACGCTACCCTAACATGGGAATATACATACAATATTGATTGATTCCATAGAAAACAGTTAAGGTACTTATAAACACTTCAAAATTTTTAATCTTAGGTACAAATATATTCCAGAACTGTACTTCATAAAAATTTAAAACAGTTACATATCATTGTTCCGATATAGTTCTAGATATGCGATGGAACATTAGTTACAGAAAATTTGTTGCTATAGTGTTATAGAAATGTTATGTAACACTGTTGCAGAATTGTACTGACTTGTAGGTACAAATGTCATCCAGAACTAATCTGCAACAACATTTTAGAACAGCTACATAACATTTTTCGGACACAATTCTAGAACTACGTTAGAACGTCATTTACAGATAATTTGTGATGATTGTGTTACAGAAATGTTACATTACATTGTTACAGAATTGTGAAGTTCGCATAATATAAAACAGATCGGTAAATCCCATGTAATAATGTTCTAGAATTCTGTTACAATGAAGTTATATAACAGATTCATAACCAGCTTGTAACAAATGTTCTATAAAACTGTGTCCTCACTGTTATATAACATTTAGAGAACGTGTTTGCTGGGATGTGTCGGAAACTCAATTTTTTGACAGTCTAAATAGCAATTTATACAATTATCTATTCTGAAAATTACACTGATTTTGCTACAAAAATTTGTTTTCCGTGTGGTTAGAAACAAAACACTATATATGTCATCTTCTTAAATTGTTTTATTTCTAGAAAAAGTCTGGAACAGTTATACAATGATTTTCTAGAATAATTTTAAAACGAATCTGTAACAGCCTTTCACTATTCTGTTACGAATCTATAACAATTGTGTTAAAATTTTAGACAATTTTAAAAGCAAGTTTTCTTGAGCCGCGCAATAAAACACAAATCGGTCTTGGAAAAAGAGTTATTTTAGCTCAAAGCTTAATTTATACATTTTTCTTTTATATATTTTTGTTTTAATTATTTTTTAAATGTTTTTTAATGTGATACCCTACTTAACCACTTATTATATTTTCGGAAACCTAATATTGTCCATAATTTTTTGAAAAAACGAAAATGATTTTTTTTATTAGGTAACTAGTGCGTGTATGGGTGTTAATCCTATCCCAGATAACAAAATGTAAGGCTAATGCCTAGTCCTGCTCTAGCCCGGGGTCCGATTGATAGGACCGGGGTGTAGGCCAAAACGCAGCGTTTTGTGCGCGCCATTGTCAGCCATATGGCTCGCCTCGTGTGACAGGCACCCGCGTGCCGGCAGGCTGCACACCCTTGATGTCGACATTATTCGAACGTATTAAAATATAATTCTTTTAAATGAAAATAGGCAAAATGAGAAAAAAACAATATTTATCATCTGTAATCAAAAGAATTTATTTCTTTTTCAAAGAAAGTTTCAAAGAAAACACTGATCAGTCGTAAATTCGTTATTCATAAATGGAAATAATAATCTCAATAGAAATATTTTGAAAAATACATACTTTTTATACATGGATCGATTCGTTTTCCTGCAAGGAATACAATTTTCACAAAAATTTCTCAAAATTTTAATCGAGAAAGAAGTTATTTTTAAAAATATGAAAAATGATTTTTTTCAAAAATTAAAAAAAATTATTTAATCTCTAGATTTAGGTAAAATATGGACTTTTTATAAGTTAATGAAAAAAATTCGGAAAACTGAGTACGATTACCAATTTTTATAAAATGTTTATGTTTATATTAGCAACGTACATTTTCATGCATTCGTTTTCCTTTTTTTCTTTTATTTCTGTGCGAGTGCTCATATTTTCGAGTTATGAATTTTCAAAAATTCCGTTTAAAAACAGACTTATTTTCAGTTACCTGTAGGACGTTTTCGGGAGTTCCTGACAATCACTGACATTATAATGCTATGATTGGCCAATCCATCAGCACGATTTCAATTTTTATTTTTCTTGGATCAAAATTTCTCAAATATGGATATAACCTAAAAAAATACTTTAATTTTCAACGTCAAATCTTTTTTTAATCCTGTTGCGATTAGAATAAATGGATAAACTTCCGAAAACCCCCCCCTTCCGATTTTAATGAAACTTGGTATACTTACGTAATTTCATGCGCTGATCACGAAAATGATAGTGAAAATTACCGCAAATTTCATTTTTATGGTGAAAACCATAAAAAACACCATAAAATTATGGTTTTTTGCGTTTAACTCGTAAAAAACGCAAAATTAAAAAAAATCGTTCTTACAAAAGTTGTAGAGCTTCTAAAAATGAACATTTTATGTCCTATACATTTTTTACCAAAAGTCATTAGTTTTCGAGAAAAATGCAAAATATTTAAAAACGGTGAAAATCACCAACTTCTAGCTATTATCCACAAGAGGCAGATGTCTTATGTGACGGACAATATCTTTTAATAAAAAACCTTCTACTCTTTGCTGTGCAGGGCTATTTCCAAAAGAACTTTTAGGGGAAGACATCTTGGAGGAGGGGGGTCGGGGTGGGTTCCGTACCTTCCAGTACCATTAAGAATGTGAATTTGACTGTCTGTTTTGAAAGAGAGCAACGATACTAGGGAAGGCGGGCTTCGCCCGCCTCTGCATTCTTTGCTGTGCAGGGCTATTTCCAAAAGAACTTTTAGGGGAAGGCATCTTGGAGGAGGGGGGTCGGGGTGGGTTCCGTACCTTCCAGTACCATTAAGAATGTGAATTTGACTGTCTGTTTTGAAAGAGAGCAACGATACTAGGGAAGGCGGGCTTCGCCCGCCTCTGCATTCTTTGCTGTGCAGGGCTACTTCCAGGGGGGAGGGGGGAAGACATCTTGGAGGAGGGGGGTCGGGGTGGGTTCCGTACCTTCCAGTACCATTAAGAATGTGAATTTGACTGTCTGTTTTGAAAGAGAGCAACGATACTAGGGAAGGCGGGCTTCGCCCGCCTCTGCATTCTTTGCTGTGCAGGGCTATTTCCAAAAGAACTTTTAGGGGAAGGCATCTTGGAGGAGGGGGGTCGGGGTGGGTTCCGTACCTTCCAGTACCATTAAGAATGTGAATTTGACTGTCTGTTTTGAAAGAGAGCAACGATACTAGGGAAGGCGGGCTTCGCCCGCCTCTGCATTCTTTGCTGTGCAGGGCTACTTCCAGGGGGGGAGGGGGGAAGACATCTTGGAGGAGGGGGGTCGGGGTGGGTTCCGTACCTTTCAGTACCATTAAGAATGTGAATTTGACTGTCTGTTTTGAAAGAGAGCAACGATACTAGGGAAGGCGGGCTTCGCCCGCCTCTGCATTCTTTGCTGTGCAGGGCTACTTCCAGGGGGGAGGGGGGAAGACATCTTGGAGGAGGGGGGTCGGGGTGGGTTCCGTACCTTCCAGTACCATTAAGAATGTGAATTTGACTGTCTGTTTTGAAAGAGAGCAACGATACTAGGGAAGGCGGGCTTCGCCTGCCTCTGCATTCTTTGCTGTGCAGGGCTACTTCCAGGGGGGGAGGGGGGGAAGACATCTTGGAGGAGGGGGGTCGGGGTGGGTTCCGTACCTTCCAGTACCATTAAGAATGTGAATTTGACTGTCTGTTTTGATAGAGAGCAACGATACTAGGGATGGCGCGCTTCGCCCGCCTCTGCATTCTTTGCTGTGCAGAGCTACTTCCAGGGGGGGAGGGGGAAAGACATCTTATATATTATATATACATAATATATGTATAATATAATATAATATCATAATAATATAATATTCAAACGAATCAAATTTAATGTGCGATCTCTCAAAACTATCTTTATAGGAATTCCAGTTTCGTGGTATTAGTAATTTTTGTAGTGTGCTTTTCATGTTTTTGCATTTTTCTCGAAAACTAATGACTTTTGGTAAAAAATGTATAGGACATAAAATGTTCATTTTTAGAAGCTCTACAACTTTTGTAAGAACGATTTTTTTTAATTTTGCGTTTTTTACGAGTTAAACGCAAAAAACCATAATTTTATGGTGTTTTTTATGGTTTTCACCATAAAAATGAAATTTGCGGTAATTTTCAATATCATTTTCGTGATCAGCGCATGAAATTACGTAAGTATACCAAGTTTCATTAAAATCGGAAGGGGGGGGTTTTCGGAAAATTTTTTAACCAAAAATTTTTTTTTATTAAAGTTATTATAACAATTTAAATTTTTTAGCAGTCGTACACTGAGAGACCTTTTGCACCGCATCAGAACTACGTGTGTGACTGCAGCGCCACTATAGGTTTTGGTGCGCTGCATTCTAAATTTTGTATCGTGACTGCCCAAA